AGCTCACAGCAACCTCAAACTCCTGGGCTCAAGCGATCCTCCTGCCTCAGCCTCCCCAAGTAGCTGGGACTACAGGCATGCGCCACCATGCTCGGCTAATTTTTTCTATATATATTAGTTGGCCAATTAATTTCTTTGTATTTATAATAGAGACGGGGGTCTCGCTCTTGCTCAGGCTGGTTTCAAACTCCTGACCTCGAGCAATCCGCCCGCCTCAGCCTCCCAGAGAGCTAGGATTACAGGCGTGAGCCACCGCGCCCGGCTCTAATATTCTTAATGTAACTAAACCACACTTGTTCTGAAAATTTCTTCCACTGACTAGAATTAAAAAGTATCCTCTCCTGATTCATAAAATTACAGGATCTCTGGGCTGGAAAGAAATCATTGATTTTCTAGTTCAACTTTCCATCTACTGGTTTAACTCCCTCTGCAATGATTCTCAAGAAGGGTCTTTCTTTGACTATCTCCAGTGACGGGGAACTCACTACCTTGTTTGCAGCCCACCACATCACAAAGGAAGGGTTCTTCTTTATGTTGAGCTGGAGTCTGTCTCCCTGTGGCTTCCATCCCCTCAGTTCTCCTGGGTGTAGTCCTTGCGGCTGCCAAGAGCAAGTCCGCCTTGTGACAGCCCTCCTTCATCTGCTCCTCAAGTGACACGGTGACACTTCCCAGCTGGCACCGCTGCTCCTCTGTTAGGGTACAGAGTCTCTTTCCTTCCCTGTAGTCTCTAGATCAGTCCAGCACAGCGAGCACTGTACTCCCTGCCTGCACGGGGGTGAGCACAGAAGTTTGAAATGGGATTCCTAACTAGCACTGAAATAATTCATGTGTACGTTATACATTATAAAAATATAAACAGAGCAAGACTCTGTCTCAAAAATACATATAGTACATATATATACATACACAAATATACTTGCATACTTATTTGCTATCCAATATTTTTATGGATTAAAACCAAGGCTGTATTTTGTGGGTTGGATCATAGATCCTGTAGGAGTTGGGAGAGGGGACAAGTGGGTGGAGGCTGGGGAGTGGAGGGAGGGTTTAGGGGAGGACGTAGGGTGAAGGGCAGTGGGAAAGCGAGCGGGAAACAAGATTTGTTAAGCCCCTTTTGACAGCACCATCTGTGTACTTGACATCCTCTTAATAACCCTGTAAGGTAGTTATTCTCCTCACTTCTCAGACGAGGACTCTGGGTGCAGGGGGATGGACGGGGAGTTGCCGTCCTAACCTACCTTCGCGTCCCAACACTGGGCTCTCCGAGCTGTGCCCATGCTGCCAGGTGGGGAAAAGGAGCGTCGCACTGATAGGTGGGTCGGGTGCGATGCAGACCCCCTCCTCCCTGTCCCCACCCTGCCTCTCCGCACGCGGAGTGTGGTGGCTGGCACAGGGACGAATGCTGTTCTTTGTTTAAAGGGCAGCAGAGCACCCCAAGGGGTAGCAGGCTGGGGAATGATTAGAGCAGGGTCCCCAGTTTATCTGACGCCTGGGGGACCCTCTTTCCCCGGGAGCTCAGTGCACCTGCCAGTTTTAAAAGGATCAAGCGTCCCCAGGCCACCTTTGCCAGGAATCGCCGTGCTGTGCATAATCCTACTGTCATCCCCCAGGCTTTCCTGTCTCGTCCCACTGAATTCCACTGCCGTTCGGAAGAATCCCAGGGGATTTGGCCTCTTTTCCAGCCAGACTCTAAAGATTCTCCACGCTCCAATCCAGGACCCGTGGGGTTGGCCCCGCGGCCCCTCCCAAGCTCAGCCCCTGTAGCTGCGGGGTGGGGGGATGCTGAGACTCCGGGAGCACCAGCTCTGCGGCCTCCCTTCACCCCCTTGTTGGAGTCTCTTTGGATCAGCTGCTCAGACCTTTGTCCAGGCGGGGGTTAGCTTTTCACACCGTCTCTGGGGAAGACGTGCTGGATGTTCTCTGCATTTACACATAGGACACGATGAGGATGCCACAGTAACAAAAAAAACCAGATTAATTCAGTTGCCAAACAAAATAGGAATGTAATTTGAGCCTCATCATCCACTTAGCTGCGAGTGCCTGGACCCTGAGCTCCCCAGGACAGGGACTGTTTGTGGTCCATCTTCTCTGCTGGTGTCCCGTCTGCACGGTGCCTGCCACCTAGGACGTGCCAGTGAGTGTTGGCTGAACAGGCGTGTTCTTCCCTGACTTCGTCTGCCTCACCGTACCTGCCCTTGGCACACTTGGGGGTGTAAGTGAATACAGGAGAAGTGACATGGAGACAGAACACCCCAGTTCCCAGCGTGCTTTCTCATGTGATCTCACCCTTTACACCCATTTTGCAGATGACCAATGGAGCCTCAGAGAGGCTAGATGACTTCTCAAGGTCCCATAGCCAGGAGGGCCGACCCCAAGCATGAATCCAGATCTTCTGGATCGGGGCTGGCAGGAAGCAGCCCAGCAACGTCGGTGCCACTGTTGGTGGGGGCTGGCAGTGAGGGGCTGTGCGGGGCACAGATGCGGTGATCTTTACAAGTCTCTGCTGAAACCCTGCTGGGGAAGGGAGGAGAGGCGAGCCCCATGCTGTGGCTTGCACAGCTGGGCTACGTCTGAACCCTCTTTGTAAATAACAGGCCCTCTCAGGGCTTCTCCCCGATCTGCTGCAGCCTCCAGCTCCCTGGAAAACCTTCTCCAAACAGGTGACAGGAAGACAGGGGTTGGCAGCACCTTCCCAGAGCTCCTGTCTCCATCACGCCAGGCCCTTGGGCTTCATCCCTGCTTCCCTCTCCTTCTCGTTAAGAAAGCACACCAAGAGTAGGCTTCCCTCCCCTAAGTCCCGAGACACGTGTCCCTGGGCCTCCCCGGGGCCATGGTGCCTGCTGCTTCCTGCTGAGTTTGTCCTCCGAGGCAGCCTAGTCTCATGGGAAGAGGGTCGGATGGAGATCAGAAAGCAGAGACACGAACTCTGGTCCCAGCCAGGTTTCTGTGTCCGTGTGCTGGGCGAGTTGTGTCACCTGTCTACAGCACCAGGAGGGGGATCTGATGCTCTTCAGGGCTCCCCCTCAGTGACCCTCTAATGTTTGAGGGTCAGGATGGTGAGTGACTTGTGCAGGGCAGAGTCTTTCAGGATTGTAGTCAAGACATCCCCAAATTGACTACCCGATCACTCTGCACAGAGCCTGGCAGCACGGGACCTTGGACCGCTTAGAAAATCAACCCTTCGCTTGCCACTGCCGTGTGTAAGATGAGTTGTTCCTCCTCCCTGCCTCCCGTTCTCTTCTGTACTGGGGATTACAACACTGTATAGGATTGTTGTGAGGACTTACATGAGATAAGCCATGTAAAATTGTTAGCACATTAGCTGGAACACAATAAGCGTTCGATAAATGTTACTCTTGTCATTGCTTTTGGGAGCAAATGCCTGCATGTCTCTTTCCCTTGGAATTGAGACCACTGCTTCCCCCCACCCCATGCACATACATCCATGCCCTCCCCTGGCCTATATTGGCAGAGACGAGGCAGAATTAAGACCCTTTTGTCTCAGGGACGCCATTCCGGAACCCCTCCTTCCACTACGGCTCATAGGCAGCAAACAGCTAGGGGTGGAGGAGGGACGTGGGGGTTTCTAGCACACAGTCCCGTTTTTTTTTCATTTTGTTCTGGGCGCACCCAGAGTCTTGCCTGCCGGAGTGCAGTTCAAAGCCTGTTCTTTTATGATCATAATAATACCTTCTCGTCTTAATGCAGCCACGAGGCTGTGAGGAGTTCAAAGGGTTTTGCGAGGCCTGTTTTCTGGGTCCTGGGATCATGAAGATCCCCCACCTCCAAAATGAACACAAAGGCTTTTATAGAGCCTGATGTAACGTTTACGAGAGGGTACCACGTCCGAGTCTCAGGCCTAAGTTACATGCGACCTTCTCTAACCCTCAACATCGACCTAGGAGCTGACTGCTGTTACTATTTCCACTTCTCAGATGAGGAAACTGAGGCCAAACAACTGGCCACATGAAAAGGTCCTTGAATAGGGGAAAGATACACGGGCCTGGTGGTCTCTGGCCCCAGATCTTGGCCACTGTGAGTCCTGCACCCGAGGACCATGGGGAGGGCAGGGACATGTTCATTCCACCTTGGAAGCTTTCTGCTCCACCTTAGAAGAGTGTTCCCAAGGCGGCTGGGGAGCTAACGGGAGCTCTCTTATTCTAGATGGCTAAGAAGCCTGCCCAGTTATGAAGTAGCTCCCTAGCACCAGCAATGGGACCAGACGTGACCCTGTGTCCAGCCCAAGCTCCCCCATGTCTTGTTTGTGCCCAGGTGTCCCTTGAGGCAGCTCTGCCGAGCCTCAGGGCTTCATCCTCTCTCCCCTCCAGGCCTTTTAAACCTAGAGAAGCTGCTCCGGCAATTCCTTATCTCCAAGGACACACTCTCCGTCCGGATGCTGGATGACACCCGGGACCCCACCCCACTCCTCAAGGAGATCCGGGACGACAAGACAGCCACCATCATCATCCACGCCAACGCCTCCATGTCCCACACCATCCTCCTGAAGGTGCGAGCCGGGCTGGGCAGGTGCTGGCGGGTGCTGAGCCTCCTCCCCTCCCTTGCCCCCTGCCCCGAGCACCCGCTCTCCTTGTCCTTCCCTTGTGTGTCCTCCTGAGCCATGGCCGAAGGAGCCCTGGGCTGGACCTGAGCCCTGACCAACCTCTCCTTGCTTCCGTTTCAATGAACGGTTCCCGACAGCTGAAGGGTGATGGTGATGTCATAAAAACATTTGGCCCCCCGGGGCAGCAGGGCCGCAGACAACAAAGACACCAGCCAAAGCCAGATCCTGCCAGGGGCTCTGCAGAGAGTCCACGGGGTCCTGGGAGGGCTATGGTGGGGGTGGGGTGCTCGAGGGGCTTGGGCAGAAGCCGCTTGCCATGCCGTGTGGAAGTATCTCCACATTTTGACAACCAGGGCAGTCGTGCCAGCGCATCTTGCTGAACATCATCTCTGTCTTCGGTCCGGACGCGGTGTGCACAGTTGCCGAGTGCTTCTGTGCACTTTCCCGGTGTAAAACGCCCAGTGATGACGTTAGGCAGGTATAGTAGCTTCCCGCTGGGAGATGAAGAGACCTGTCCAGGGCCCAGCCCTGCGAGGAGCAGGGCCAGCCTGAGCGCTTCCGTCTCACCTGCGAACCAGGCGGTTTCTGCTGTACTCCCAGAGACAGAGGGCAGGGCGCCAGCCCCGAATTCGAGCATATGCACTGGCAACCGGGACTCTGGGAGTGAGGCCGATCCGAGAGACAGAGAGAGAGAAGTCTGGTGCCCGGGGCCCGCATGGGACAAACAGCTGGAAATAGCTGGGCAGCCTCGGGTCACCTGGCGCCAGTTCCTGGGCCGGTGGCGGGGCCAGGCATGCACCTCAGAGAGAGCAGACCCTGCTTCCCGGCTCCTCGGCAGCTCCCCCAACCTCTCCAGGCGCTCTGGCCTCTTCTAATGCCATTTTAATTGCACATTTAAACACAACCTGCCATCTTCCACTGGGGGAGCGAGGCTCCTCGTTAACCTCTGCCAAGCTGCGAGGAGCCCAGCAGACACTCGGATGATTGTCTCTCCCTCGCCCTCCCTCCTCCCGGCCTCCCATCCCCAGCTAGTTTTTGTCTCAGAGTTAATAAGAGATTTGAATGAGTTCTCTCAGTACTGAAGGCTGTCCCTTCAGCCCGTTGCTATAGTAATTTTCCAGAGCTCCAAAGCCACGTCTGTCCGTGTGCGTATACCCAACTCACACACACTCTCTCTGTCACACATACACGCACATTCAAACACAGGATTTTTCTCTTTTCTTCCTTTTTCTCCTCTTATGCCTGGAGCTATGATCAATGAAGTCATTAAGGATGGAAAAGCTCCTGTAAGTTTCAGGGGAGGAGAGGGCCAGGCTGAGGGGTCCCCCTTAGGAAAGGTGGGGAGCAGGGAGTGGGAGCTACAGCTCAGTAGACAGATGTCCCTGCAGCCCCATTGCGGAGGGCAGCTCAGACGCTCGGTTCCCTTTGGGTACTTGGAACCTGCCTACACAGCCCCCAGGTAGGAGCCTTTGGGGGGCAGCCCCTTGCCCGGGAATATTCCATGGCGTATTCCCAGCATGTGAGGCCGAGTTCTATACCCACAATAATACGACTAGTTCATTGTCGAAATTTCGGAAAGTATAGAAAAGCACACAGAAGAAAATAAAAATTATTTACAATCCCATCACCCAGAGCTAACCGCTATTAAATTTTGATGTCTACCCTTTCTGCTTTACAGACGCATTTTTTCCAAAATTATTATCACCCTGCACAAACTTTTCTGTAAGCTGCTCTCCTAATTCTATGCCATGCACCTTCCCCATGTCATTAAACATTTTTCTACAAATATTTTAATGGCTGTATCATTTCCTATCATACAGATGTCCCATAATTTATTTAACCATCCTTTTATTGTTGGAGATACAGGTTGTTTCCAATCTTTTGCTATAATAAATAATGCCGGGGTGCACATCTTTGCCCATAAATCTTTATGCACATTCATGAATATTTCCTTATCATAAATTTCTAGAAGTGGAATTACTGAGTTAAAGATATGCATGCTTTTAAGGGTTTTGATGTGATTTACCAGATTGCCTGGCAAAGGCTGTGACAGTCTACACTCTCACCAGCAGCATATAGGTGGCTTTTAGCACCCTTGCCAATACTGGGTATTTTCATTAAAAACGCTTTGTGGGGTTTTTTTGTTTTGTTTTTTGTGGCCGTCCTTTTCAAGGAAGCTCCACCTGTGCTGCAAACGGTTGTGTTGAGTGCTCCATGCCTGTCTTTCCTGGTCCCACCGCTCGGGCCCAGCCCCTATGACCTTGGACCCAAGCTGATCAATGAGCAATGAGGCTTCAGGAAAGCCTGTTCCCTTTGTTCCCATCTGACTTCCTAGAGGCCCGGGCAGGCTCTGTCCTTGTGCTTCTTAGGGCTCCATACTCCTCCTTCCAGCGGCGGGGGGTCGGGGGGGAGGACACAGGCCTTTAGGGGGCCTCAGCCAGGACGGCCTCCGCGTGGGAAGCTGAGTGGGCACAGCACGCACGGGGCCTCCAGGAGACTCGCTGTGCAGGAGGGGGCCCGGCCCCGAGCTTGGCAGCACTCTGCCGGCTCCCGATTTCAGGAGGATTTGCAGAGTAATCCCCGACTTTATTGAGAGGCTGTTCCAGCGACGAACTCCATGTTTACTCAGAATTCAGGCCTTAAAAACCAAGGATCTCTTGTCTTTTATCTCTAGGACAGCAGATTTCACAAAATGGGTTTTAACTATCTGACTGTGCCCTCTCCCAGCGCCGCCCCGCCCCGTCAGCAGTGGGCTCAGTCGTCTAGGCAGGGGCGGGAGGGGCAGAACCCTTCCATGGACAGGGTGGGTGCGTGGGGCGGGGCATGGGACGGAGGCGGTCATGCTGTCACACCGTCCTCTTGGAAGTGGAGGAGGAAATGTAACTTCGATTGGAGGAAGAAGGAGCCTCACAGGGGAGGCCTTGTGTCCCCTGAGTGCTGTTGCCCCTGTCACTAAGCCTCCCTGCCCCTTAGTTTCCTGTTGGAATGATGGTGATACAGGAACCCCCAGTCCGTTCCTCAAGGGGCCTGCGCGGGTTCCTGGAAGAACGCTCACGATGCTATCTGAGTTCCTTGGGAGATGAACACTACGTAGGAGGAAAATATAATCATCCCTGGTCTTGTTTCTCCTCTGTCCGCCTTGATAGTCATCACAAAAGTGGTCTCCCTGTGCCCCAGGGCTGCATGACGCGTTATGAAAATCTAGCCGGTTGTCAGGGGGGATGAGGCCCTGGAGAGAGCTGGGCTCATTATTTACCTGATCTGCTTGTCAGCTGCATGGCACCTGTCACACTCAAAGCCAGGCACACTGACAGGGAAGGTTGGTTAGGAGTGCTGAGGGTGGGTACAAAGATCAGACAAAAGGGACACTGCTCTGAAGTGGCAATGCTCAGCTGCGGAGTGCTGCCACACTGCTGCACTGTGATCAAGGGGGAGGCATGTCACCGGCAACTTGTTACGTGCTAATAAAGCACCAGAGTTTGCAAATTATTTACTTATTTCCTATGTTGCTGCAGATTCAAGAATACTCTTATTAAGAGTCTCACTTGCATTCCGACAGGGGTGGAGTTGATCTGAGCATTGCCTACAACCTACAGACTCTCTGATCTATGCCTCGGCCCCTAAGAGGGTCGTGTCTGTGGTTCCATCAATATCGCAGTCCTCGGGGGGGAGTATAGTTGGTTAAAAGCACTGACATTAGGCTGCCTGGCTTTAATCTCACCGTTTCCGTTTGTGAGACATGAGATCTTGTACAAGTTTTTTAGCCCTTTGTTGCGTCAGTTTCCCCAACTGGGAACGCGGGTTGGGGGAGGGATGATCATGCCTACCTCATGCAGTTAACCCACGTAGAACACCTTATGGTGGCTGGCACGCACCAAACAGTGGGTGTCAGCCATTGTTATTGTTAATGGTGGTGGAGATAATTATTATAGTCTGTTTAATTATTTGCTTCATTTCCCTAAAAGTCATTTTGGTTTCAGTAATATCTGATTCTATCCATGGTGTGCTGAGTGTGAGAACAGCAGCTACTGTGCATGTCGCTGCAGTGGGAGTGAGCAAAGAGGAGGAGGAGAGACTCTATGCTGGCCCAAGATCGAGGGCAGTATGAGAACCAGCCAGGATGTTCTACTCTGCCTGGTGCCGAAGGGCAGGCGCCCGGACAAATGGCAGACACACGGAGCCCTCACTGCTCAGTTGCTGCCAGGGGGCTTGTGTTTTCTTCTCTAACCTCCTTCTCTTCGCCTTGCAGGCAGCTGAACTTGGGATGGTGTCAGCCTATTACACATACATCTTCACTAATCTGGTAAGACATTTTCACGGCTCACCTCCTTGGCATAGAGAGTGTTGTGAGTGGTCAGGGGCAGTGGATCGTGATGGAATAGAGCCCAGAGGATGGGGGAGTGGGAGAAGTAGACGCAGAGGAGCAGAAGCCGGCTGGAAAGGCTGGGCGTCCTACAAACATGTGGTCCAAGAGCCCACTGGGATTCTTATCCCAACAATTCTGAGCCTTGCAAACATGGGGACTTGGGGAGTCTAACGTCTCCATTCAGGCACCACTAGCTACATAGGGCTAATTCCTCTGGGCTGTCGCAGGGTGGGTGAGCCTCTTTGGTAGGTCCAGTAACCGGGCTGCAGTCCATGTTGTCAGACCCTCGTGCTAACTCAGAAGTAGGAAAGCTAGGGCACAACAGGATGCATGTCTTATGGTGTTATAACCATAGGTACCTTTAGAGACCATCTCAGTCAAATTCCCTTATTTTGCAGATGAGAAAACTGAGGTCTGTAGAAACTTCATTGAATCAGGTTTGAGCACTAGCTTTGCCACTTGCCAACCATGTGCCCTTCAGCAAAGCACAGAGCCTTGGTGTCCTTATCTATAAAATGGGAATCAGAACAGCCATGGCATGGAGTTGCCATAATTTTGAAATGATTTAATTTAACCTATGTGGAAGCCTTTTGACATGGTAAAGCATTAAGAAATGTGAAAGATTAAGGTGACATAGGGACACACTCAATCAGAAGGTAGAAAGGACCTCAGAAAACAGGTGGTTTTTTTTTAAATTATAACTTTTTACTTTGAAATAGTGATTCATATGAAGTTGCAAAGGTAGTGCATGTACCCTTAACCCAGATTCCTCCAATGGTGATGCTGTACACAATTACAGGACAGTATCAAAACAGGGTATCAGAATGGCAATCTATGAAAACGTGCAGAGTTGTGTACCTCTGCAAGCAAGATACAGAACTGCCCATCCCCTCAAAGAGCTCCCTCCTGCCACCACTTTACAGTGACACCCGCCACCCTCCCCCCCACCATCCCTAACCCTTAGCCTCCACTCATCTGTTCCTCATTTCTATAGTTGAATGATCGTGAGGGTGTTATATAAATGCAATCTTACCTTTCTGTGACCTTGTTGGATTTTTATTACAGAGTAGTATTTCATGGTATGGATGTGCCACAGTTTGTTTAGCCCTTCACCTGTCGACAGACATTTTGGTTGTTTCCATATTTTGACTATTACAAATAGAGCTGTTACAAACAATAGTTCAGAGAAGAGGTTGGCTTCATTTTATAAATCACTTGACGAAGGGGACCCCTTCATCCAGACATGATTTTGAGTACCTCCTGTATACAGGCGCTGGGCCAGGCATTTGGGATTAAAATGAGAGTAAGAAACCAAGCCTGCCCCGGAAAAACTCAAAGCACGTATCACAGTGCAAAGTGCTAGATTCTGTTATTAGACATGTGATATTCCAAACTCTAGAGCAGGGGCTGCTTGCTCAGCATGGGGCCGTCAGGAGAAGTTTCATAGAGGAAACGGCCTTCAAGCTACAGCCTGAAAGATGGGTAGAGTTTTTCTAGGGAAACAAAGAAAGGAAGAGCATTCTGGGATAAGGCACAGCATATCCACCTACTTAGAGATAAGAAAGTCCATGGCAGGTCCAGGAGACACTAGGCCACTTAAAACTTACGGACTGCTCCAGGAATATGCATGTCAGTTAATTCTTATTCACTTAATGCATTTCCAGCCAGCATTGAAAGTAACCTGTTTAGAAGATTCGAGTCAATTTAAGGGCCTTGATAAGTTAGGGAACAGAATTCGGCCTCATAGAGTTGATTCTTCAATCTTGAAGAAGGTTGTCCAGAAGTAAATACATTTTTGGTGCAAGTGTGCAGTAGGGTAATTTAGGGAATCATGCAGTCTCCCTTCCTAGACTTAGAAATCAGGTCTCTTAAAATATCCTGTGAGGCTTAGGAGATGGCTGCCCAAAGAGATGGGCTTGGACGCTGAGATCCTTTTCTTCCCCAGCTGTAGGTGTTTATGAACAGTCCTTTCTTGGGGCATCTGTGGAATTGTTAACCCTGAAGCATCCTCTAAGTCTTTGCTCTCGGAGTTGAAACAGACTTTAGAGGAATCCAGGTGTGGCTTTTCTTCTGGAATAGGGACTGATTCCACGGCAGGCTTGCCAGGGAGTCCTCCAGCCTTTGCTTGAACTTGAGTGGAAATAGCTTGTTCACCACCACCACCACAAAACTGCCTGCTCCGTTGTTAGAAGTTGTTAGAATTTTTTTTTATTGAAGTCTAGTATGCCTATAGAAGGAAACCACAACATAGTATGTGTGCACAGCTTAAAAAACTTTCTCCAAGCGAGCACACCTGTGTAAGCCGCACCCAGCCCCAGAAATAGAACATCGCCAGCACCCCAGATCCCCTCTCATGCCCCCCTAAACGTACAACAGACGAAGTTCTTTGTTCGCTTTTTTTTCCCTCTCTTAACACTGCTGCTGTAAATCAGAACATTAATATGTAAAAAGGGAGAAAAGGATTAGACTATTCCCAGAGCAATGCAAAAGCATTTGCTTAAAGGAAGGAGGCATCTGGGGGAGCCTGGGCAAGTTGGCAGAAGAGCAAAGAAAGATTAGAGTATAGTTGTGTTCCATTTGGGGACCTGGGAAATGGTGGGGGAGGGAGAAGGCAGGCCGGGGGCTGCCTGCAGCGTGCCAGCCTGCCGGGAGGCTCCCTAAATTAGGCAGCAACGTCAGCAGAGGAGGAAGGAGCTGGGCAGCGAGGAGTCGCTGGGGTGATTTAGCAGATGAAAGGGAGACATTCATTTGGAATATGAGTTCCCAGGACAGTAACCAGAATAAGGTGGAGTTGCTTGGCTGGGAGATTTTTAAGAAGACAGCATTATCCACACTGTGTACTGCCACCCCCTGTCCTCAAAAATGACAGGAATGATGATGACGATGTTATCTAGTGGACAGAGGTCGAGTCACTGGGGGGACTTGGGTAAGCCACACTGGCTCTCTGAGCCCCAGTTTTATCATTCTTAAAATGAGGGTAATAAAACAATGATGAGGATTAACTGAAATTATATTAATATAAATAAAATGTATTAACAGGACTCACACTGTACGTTTGCAAGGGGAGACCAGAAAAGTAACTGTGAGTAATGCCGGTTGAATAATAGTCAAGAAAACAGAAGCAGAGCCATTGTAAAAATCAGTCTGTAAAAGAATATTCTGGAAGCTTCTCATTAGTACCTCGGCTTTCCAGAAGGGATAGCCCTCAAATAGGAGTAAAGATACTTTGTAGGACCACTCTTCCTGCCCATTTGCAGTTGAAGTCTTAGGCCAGAGGGAAAAGGGTTTCGTCCGGAGGGTGATGAGTTATCCTCTCTGCTTCTCCACCCTTCTCCCAAGTCCAGGTGCCAACCGGGCTTTAATTCTTATTTACTCCTTGTCAGAATTCCTAGGAAGCCGGGTCATGTCCCGTCTCTGAATTCTGCCACAGCAACGCAGCAGGTTCTCAGATCAGCTTTCAGAGAACAGGCACGACGAGCTGCAAAGCGTGGGCAGTAGCAGTACCTGCCTCAGGAGATAATATACACACTAACTGGCTCACGGTGCGAGTTTAGTTGGGGGAAGTTATTATTTTAAGAAGTCTAGTTTATGCTTCTCATGGGCTCAAAGGAATAGGAGGTACTTATTTTGCTGCCCAGCCTCTAATGGTCTGTAAAAATGACTCATAAAATGCCATTTTATTTATTTCTAGAGAATGAATAGAAGTAGGTAGTTCGGTTATTGTGCATGACGGAACCTACCCATTGTAGGGTTTATTTGTGTCAGTAATTACTGAGCAATTGATCAAATACCCATACCTCACTTCCATCCAGGCAGAAGGAAAACTGATTGATTTAGGGCATCCATAATAAATGAATTAGGTTGACTGCTCTGGATTCTGTCCGTTGATTACCCATCACAGGAGTTGGGACAAAATTATCCATCATGAATCAGACTTCCAAACCATCAATTCATTTGACCCTATGGAAACATAGTTTCTTTCTCTCTCAGGGTCTGGCCAGCAAGGAGAGTGAGTGTGCCAATTCTGGGCCTTGGGAGACAGGTGACGGATGCAACACAAGGAACTGAGCCAGCGAGAGCAGAGGCTGCTAGGGGGACCACGCGGCTATCACAGGCAGAGCCGGGTCTGTGGGTCCTGGAGAGGTGGCACTCAGTGACACGATGACAGTGAGGTGGCAGGCAATGAGAGAGACACAACTCACAGGGATAGATTCCTCCAGAACAGAGGAAGCCATCAGTGACAGGAAGTATGTAGATGTTGAAGGCACGCAGTGAACACCTATCCAGGTCTTTTATCTATATTCGCTATTTCAAAATGGGATTTGGGGTGATTTCTACTGGTGTTAGAGACTGGATCAGTGAATCGGCTTTTTTCCCAGCTTCTGGTTTGAATGGGTCAGGAATCATTTCCAGCAGAGCAAATCTCTGATCAACAGACAGCAAGTGAAGTTGGCTAAGGTGGGGGCCGGCGCAGAGGGTTAGCTCTTGGGTTCCAAATCACAAGAATTTGAGAGGTAAATTGAGGGCACTTGGGCAGGAATGTGCACTTGGCCAGAGGTCAGGTACGCGGAAAAGAACTAGGAGGAAGCAAGTCCTGGGGCGAAGGTCAAGGTGAGGGGTCAAGAGTCCAGGCCAACGTGAGAGGGACCAAATAAGGGACAAAGCAAAGCAAACAGAATTATTGTGCAAAGTCACAAAAGATATAGATGCATGAGTGACCCAGAGAACTGGTTCCTGCCCTCATCCAGAAATCAATCAGCCTGCCTGCCGGCCGCCGGCCTTCCTTCCTTCCTTCCTTCCTTCCTTCCTTCCTTCCTTCCTTCCTTCCTTCCTTCCTCTCTTTCTCTCTTGAATTTTTATTTTGGTAAAGTACTAATATATAAGACATCAAATTTGCCATTTTAACCTTTTTTTTAAGTTTACAATTTAGTGGCATT